ACGGCGTTCGACCTGATCTACTCAGTGGAGCAGAAGCTTTATTGACTGAATTGGTGAAAGGTACCTTCACCGCAGGCCTTAGAGACGATAGGGTTAAATATATAGTGAAATCCAGAGGCGACAATGTTAGCCTAGTACAACTGGTAGAAACAGCTTTACAAGAAGAAGGGGAGTTAAAATCACAACGGTTTAAATCTCAGTCCCATATGCCAGGGTTCATGCAACCCAGACTGTTTCAAAATACAAACAGATTTTCATCAGGTTATTACCAAAATAATAGACAGCCCCCACACGTAAATATTGTCGGAATTACATGTTTCCGGTGTCAGGGTGAGGGTCACATAGCTAGGGAATGCCGCAATCGTCCTGTATGTAGACAGTGTGGTAAAATAGGACATGTGACCAAGGATTGTAGGTCCATGAATCAAGGGGCTCAAGGGAGCCATAATAGGGAGTCAAGGGACTCAAAATAGGGGCTCAAGGGAGCCATAATAGAGGAAAGATTGTCAAGACTTTGAGGACAGGATTGGGGACGCCCATACCCTGTCAAAACAAATCGAACAATATGTTACATGTAACTCATTAAAGAATGGATTAGGAATAGCATTGTTGGACACAGGGTCCCAAGTATCGTTAGTGAGAAAAATAAGTTTAAGAGGATATAATAATTGTGAGGAAATAATGAATGAAGCAATACAAGGTATTAGTGGAAATTATGTACAGATATTAGGTACATTACAACTGAAAGTAAATGATACAGAAATACAATGTTATGTAATTAAAGAACTACCACGAAATCTGGATGTGATATTGGGCATGAATTATTTACAAAAGGCAGGGTACATGTTAACTCAGTTCATAGAACCTTATTCCCAAAAGGTGGTGAATTTTGTTACTCATAAAAAAGGAACAAGATATGTAGAATCACAAATGTTAAATGACACCTTAATTTGCGCTACAAGTATGGTTGAATGTAAAAATTCAAAATTTCAATGCTTAGTATTAAATTTAACAGATGTTAGAATCCCAGTGAAACAAACACCTCAACTCATAAAACCACCGTGTCAAAGTAGTCAAAAGGAGAAGAAACAAATGACTGTAGACAGAAATAATTTATTACATAAAAATTTACGATTGACACACATCCAACATGGGGCTGAGAAAATTAAGCAAATTTGTACAGAATTCATAGATATTTTTAAATTGCCGGGTGATAAATTAACAGCAACAACAGCTGCTGAACATTCAATTCCCACTCCATTACTACCACAAGGTAGGGCAATCACATTAAAAAATTATAGGCTACCAGAAGTCGAAAGCAATGTAGTACAAAGTCAGATTACAAAGATGTTGGATGAAGATATAATAACTCCAAGTAAAAGCGAATGGAATTTTCCATTAATAATTGTTCCTAAAAAGATAGATGCTTCAGGAAAGAAAAATTAACAAATCCCCCTCTTACAATATCCTGATTTTACTCAACCATTCCTTCTTACCACGGATGCTAGTGGTTATGCAATAGGTGCTATTTTGAGCCAAGGAAAGTTAGGTTCTGACAAAGCCATTTGCTATGCTAGTCGAACCCTCAATTCTGCTGAAACTCATTACAGCACCACAGAAAAGGAACTACTTGCTATAGTATGGGCAGTTAAACATTTTCGACCATATTTATACGGTAGAAAATTCACCATTTGTACAGATCATAAAGGTCCAGTTTGGATATTTAATGTCAAAGACCCGAGCTCAAGACTCGTTAGATGGAAGTTAATATTAGAAGAATACGAATATGAGATTGTTCATAGAGCAGGAAAGAAACATTGCAATGCGGATTGTCTTAGTAGATACCCCTTACAGTGCTTAAACATAGAAATACAGGAATTAACTCCTGAAAGAAAAACACGTATTATTTCTGAAATGCATGATTGCCCAATAGGTGGACATCAAGGTATAAATAGGACAATAGGAAGAATCCAATTATATTGTAAATGGGAAAACATGTATAAGGATGTAGAAATATATATCCGGAATTGTCAGATATGTCAACAAAACAGAGTTATGGGACAACGAACAAAAACTAAGTTAGAAATAACAGATACATGTGAAGAGGCGTGGGATAAAATATATTTGGATATAGTTGGACCATTTAATTTAACTGAAAATGGTTTTAAATGTATTTTAACATGTCATGACAATTTAAGTAAGTATTTAATCACCAACCCTCTTAGAACCCAAAGTGCAGATGATTTAGCAGAACAATTTGTAGAAAAAATAATTTACATTTTCGGTATTCCAAACGTTGTAGTCACAGACCAAGGTACGAATTTTATGAGCCGCGTATTCCAGCAAATTTGTAAAATGTTAAGAATCAAGAAAATTCACACAACAGCCTACCATCCTGAAAGCAATGGAGCTCTAGAAAGAACACACAAACCACTAGTTAATTATTTACGGTGTTTTTTTCCGGTAAGAATAATGAATGGGATAAATGGATTAGTTGTGCTAGCTTTGTTTATAACACCACACCTCATACTATTACAAGATATACAACTAATGAAATGTTATTTGGTAAAAAGGCAAATATTCAAGGTAGTTTACAGAAAGAACCAACACTTTGTACAATTACGAAGACAGTGTGCTAGGATTGAAACATAAATTAAGGAGTGTTCACCAAACTGCAAAAGAAAGGTTAATTACGAAAAAGGAACTACAGCGTAAAAAGAGTCAAAGTAATGAAAAAAGAGTTTAATGTAGGAGATTTAATTTTGTTATACAATGAACAAAAAGGGAATAAGTTGGATATAATATGGAAAGGTCCATATGAAATAAAAGCAATCAATCATCCCAATGTCACTATCCAAGAGTTAGGAAAAAGAAAACATGTCACAGTGCATAAAAATAGGATAAAACAGTATTTTTCTGTTACAAATGACAATAACATGGGCACTGCTGATAATAGCGTGCATGCAATTAAGTAAAAGCCAACAAGTTGAGAAAATAGAAACTGAGGTAGGGATTTATGATGAAATAGGACATATTTAATTTTATTCCACACAGTGAGAGGTAGTCAATTATGTGAATTTGGAAAAGGTAAAAGATATCTGGAAACAAACTCAAACCCGTTATTTGCAAGTAGCACATTATTTCGAAGGTACAGTCAAAAGGTTTGGATGCATTACACAGATTGTGAAGAGTTAAAAACGTATATGGAAGCCAAGTTCACTCAATTAAATAGTTTGCAAAGTATTGTTTCACAATAGTTGGGTCAAGATGATATGACCACGTCATCGAAAGAAAAAGGGTATTTAGGAAACAACATAGTTTTGAAATGTTAGTTAAGCATTAGTTCACGCATAATCAGGACAAGTACAACCAGAGATCATAACCCCTATGTAAATTAAAACTTTGTGAGGGACCAACTGTGATGTGCTCAATGTCTCACACCCTCAACAATAAGTAAATCCTCAGGTAGAAGGCATTCAGCTGTCAGAAATTCAAAACAACAAAATACTAACTGTAAACGTTTCCCATAAAAGCATCGAAGTTAAGTGCATGAACCTGTCCAACTTACAACAAAAAGGGGTGACCAAGTTCCAGGATAAAGGGTATTGTAAATATGTAAAATTATAGGATATTCGCCGGTTCCAATTAAAAGTGTCCAACTAGAGGGGTTTTACTGTACTGTAAGTTATTTCTTTGTTTCCAATTGTACTGGTACATTAAACATAGCCAATTGTAATCATATTATTAATTTTTAAACAAGATGTATTGTTAAAGATAACTTAAATTTGCTACTGTGGATATACAGTTACTCCTTTGTAGAAGTGCTTTTTGCAGTGTTTGTGAATGTATGATTAATTTTAGTACCATCTTTCTACTTGAATAGAATATTTGTTGACTTACCAGTATGCAATGCGGAATTGCAAGGTGATACAACTTGATGTAATCTGTATGGTAATTGGATGATTTATTTGTATGACTAAGGCACTCTTCATTGTAGCATAAATTTAAATTTACTTTAAGTCAGTGGGTATATCAGGTAATGATGCATACCAAAATGTTGACACATTTGAATGTTACATTGTCAGAACAACAGCTCGCTCTCAGATGGCGAGAGATTTTACATCCGACATACTGTTCATAAGAACAAACTCCCACTTTTACAATATGAGAATGATTTCTGCTATAAACAGGCACAATTAGCTGATTTAAGTTTCAAACAGATTGTATTGGTTGAATCTGTGGCGTTAAATGTATGCGCACATTCCGTTCACTATTGATATTGTTGGTGTTCACTGCAAGATTATATGCATTTTAAGTAGTGCCAATTAACGATTTAATTGTTTTAATAAGTTTAATTATTATACTCAAAGTTTAAAACATGGTTTTAATCTTTTTTGTGGAAGGGAGGTGTAACATAGGTTCTCGTTCCACACATTAAGACTGAGCATGGACAATGTGAGGCACGTTCAAGTGTGTGGTCCGTGTAACTTGCAGCTGTGTCTTCAGGGGTAGGTTCTGGTCCCCCGCAGCGAGTCTAAGCAGAAACAATGAGGCGCCTTCAATTGTGCGTCTGACCCATGTAGCTTGCAGCTGGCCTTTAGGGGTGGTACATTTTTTGTTGCGTTTGAGTAGAATGACATACCTCTTGACCTGACTGTTCAGCCATCTCGTTTGATGTATATAAGCTTGTGACGTTGGTTGGCACAGCATCAGAAGGTGGTCAAGAAGTCATAACTTCAACTTCGTGTAACCTGCTGTTCATCTTTTCTGTACACTTTTGTTCTTGTCTTGAGTTTGAATAAAAACTCTTCTTATTAGAAAATACGAACTGACTATCTTCTACAATTGGAATACCAAGTTATTTCAACTTATCCGCGAATCCTGAACAATCCCAAACGTATTACACAACATCCAAGGAAGCCGATTAACAACTTTACCTCAGGCACTTCCAAGAGTACTACAGTTGTGTATTATATTCTGACAGAATGATTGCGAATGTATTTGAAAAAAACGTGAGGAAGTGTCCGTGGCTTATTTCAAGGCAGTGTATCGGCGTTATCATTATCAGACTGAATAAAAAGTGATAGTGGAACCACGGTTCCGGAGAATTTGACGTAAATACGTCTATACGGAAAGGAAGTTTATATATTGGCATTATTCTAAATATTTCCTTTATACATGCTTTACATTTGAGATAAGTTTGATTAAGACATTGCTTATTCAACTTCAATTAGTTACTTGCTAAATTTTATCAGTCCAATCACAATAAAATATTATTATTAAATATTAAAATATTATTACAATTAACATTTAAATATTTGTTCTAAATGAACCATCTTCAGGTGTATAATCCATATAAACTCAAATGTAATATCCTAAGTGCAATCCTTCGTCAGATGTCCATCAAATATTAGAGAGTTTTTCTCTTCCAGACCTATTGTACTTTAATATCGCATTCAAGGTCGTTTCGTAATGTATGTCGCGTTTAATATGATCTTGTGTGGGTAAAACGTTTTGCAGTGGTTTTTGTATCGGTCATAAATGAAGAGTGGAGGAGGTTCGTCCGAACGACGACGGACGAACCTCCTCCTAGGTAACAATAATGCCGAGTAAACAGATGACGTTTCCTAGGTAACAATAATGCTGAGTAAACAGATGAGGTTTCCTAAGTAACATAACAATGAAGTTACACTTTTTCGTTTCCCTTTTTCGTAACACTTTTTCGTAACACTATTTCGTAACACTTTTTCGTAACACATTTTTGCCGAATGACACTGACCCTAAAATATAGACGTATTTACGTCAAAACATAAAACCTTGACAGCCAGTCAAATACTAAGTATAAGTCATGCCCTACAATGTAAGATTTCAGACGTTGAGTCCGAAGATGGCTGTCTTCTGAGTTCTAGCACCGTGTAATCTGGTGGAAGTTTACCGACGTTTCGGAGTTGTTGATGCACTGATAATGGATGCAGCAAGGACCTCTGAAACGTCGCTAAACTTCCACGAGCTACGCCCTTTTTTCCAACACGTTCCCGGATACGGGCAAGTGAACCCACGCACTACGCAGCTGTAAATCTTAAACCTGAACAGGCTGACACGTCACAAAGACCGTTATACCCATGGCCGGTGGTCACAAAAGCAAAAGTGTGAAATTCATTTGATTTTCCTAGTTCCAGTTTGAAAACACGTACCTTTTTCAAAGCGGTCAGTCTTCCGGGTACCGACAACCCGTAACGCAATCCCGTTGAAATGTAACGTGCTCTGTGGGAATGTGTTGGACTCGTGACTTGTTCCAGTGAATTAGCCAAATCTCGGGACAAAGATCGTAAAACTTTTGCCACTTGAGTAAAATATATTACACTTCGTCTTTCATGATGCACAAGCCACAAGCAAAGTTTAAGCAATTAAGTTGCGAGAAATCATTTTTCAGGCTGTTAGACGGCTAACAAGTAATATTATTGTACAGTGTTAAGCGAAACAAATTTAATTTTGAAAACTCGCTCATCATTATTGATAACAGCTTAGTACAGACAGAAAATGTCTTTATTAAAGAGTACATATTATTATCATGAAAAAATAAATATTATTCATACTTCTTAATTAAAATTACTGCAGGATGAATTTTTAACATGGTATCAATGTGAAAATAGAACGAATTATTTCAATAACCTATTACATTTGAAAAAAATATAAAAACACAAGTTTTAACGTTCTTGAAATTAATGCGTTGTCAGTTTCCTGACACGTATTTTGAGAGGAAGATTGCGCAGTTCAATGGGCAAATATAACTGGCAGTCGAATTCATCTACTTCGGATGTCAATACAATACAGTAGAGGCTAGAAAATGCCAGTTGCTTAATATTTTATTATAGGCTCTGTGTGTATGTGATTATGCATGAGTCTTTATCGTTTATTCTTCGGGAAAAAATGTTTGTGCTGGTTAAGAATATGACTTACTTCTGTTGTAATGTCTGATTTGTAAGATAAACTATGTAAAAGTTTCATAACTGCACGTGTGGTAAAATCCGTTCATGTTGACTGTTGCGTTTCAAGGAGTAACGACCAATTCACTGAGCCACAAGCATGTACCAAAAAAAATGTCTAACACATTTTTCAGAAAACTGATTTGTAGAGCTCCTGCAGTAGAATGACAATAGGGCTAGACAAAATAATGACCAGATAAGCTTGATGGGTTTCAAACTGTAGGTACAGTAGAACCTCTGTTATCCGACCCTCGATTGTACGACTACCGCATTAACTGACAAAATTTCAACCAGATCGGTTGCGATCAGTTTCTACCGGCGAGCAAGCAAATCAACTGACATCAGCAGAATTACACCAGAACCTCCACTTCATGTGATGGACAGCGACTCAGAATGACTGATAAATTCATTATATTAATACAAGATCTTCCTCGAACAGCGGTCACGAGTGACTGTTTTGCCGTCGGCTTGTGCGAGCGAAACGCCCGCATCAGCTGTATTGAATCTCTGTATATTTCAGTATTTGTAACAATGATTTACATGTTTTTGTGACAACTTTGCCAATTTTTGTCTTCCACTTATTTTTTTCATATCCGTGACCACTTTCCCCTTCCCCTCGTTCATCCGACTTATCGGCTTATCCGACCAATGGTTCCAGCTTCCATGCTTCAAGAAATGTCAATTATAACATTTCCTTCTGTGAACTTTTTTTAACGTTTGCACTCTCTGCAATTAAATTTTAGTGTGTCAGATACTGTAAATAAAATAAAACAAACAGACTTAAATTCTCTGTCGTTCAACTTAATCCCAAATTCTCTATATAAATTAAGACAGTAGCGCTATGTTGGTATTATCTGTGGACAGTAGAGTGCAGCACTTCCTGCACAACCAGTTCACGAAGGAGATGTACATGGTGAAAAGCAAATGGAAAATATTGTAGTCGAATAATAAACTTAAATAATGTAACTAATGTGTACACCAGATCTGAAAAAGTTGAGAAGAAAAATCTAATTCACTTAAATCTGTTTTTATGGACGAAAAATACAACTTGTCTATCTTTTGGGAAGCCATGTATTCTCCTTAGATTATACGGTAGTCTGTACGAAATTTTGGCTTAATAAATCTTCATAACCCTTGGTCTACCGACGAAATTATCGTCACCGCCATGAAAACCTCAAATCTTACAAAATGTTCGTTTATATTCCACGGTTACTACCAACACCGGTTACTACGATCAAACGGCAGTGGCAGATGAAAATGATCTGTTGGTTGTGATTTTGATATGGTTGGGTAGAAGTGTGTTACAAAAATACATTTGGAAAGTGCTAGTATGTCGTGTCAAATTAAAACAATTGCCAGTTTAATTAACGTAGACAGTGTTAAAAAGTGGTTGTTTCCTTCGGGTAATGGGGGTGGTAATTAAATAATTTTGTTGAAATTGTTTTATACCAAGTTGAGAAAACTGTGTTATGTCATGTGTCTAATAATGTTGCTTTTCGGAATTGTTTATATTAATGCAGTCTCCCGATCCTTCGGAATGTCCAGTCGAAGACTCACAAAAATTTAACGGCAAAGAACACACTTGGTTACAAGAATGTTGCCTGTCACTTTCTTCAACAGGGGAGTTGCTTGTTATTGCCCACAGGAATCGTATGATAATTTTGACATGTGAGTCTCCTATACCATCACACTGTTTCTGATCGTTTTGAGAAATTAATGTAGGTGGTTTCAGGAACGTTTTAATTCGTAACATACAAGGTAATAACCATGCTCTAAACTTTAAAAAATGCTGTAATTGAGTCATTAATTCTGTATTTATTATTTAACATAGTTTATACAACATTTTTAAAGATGTTAAGAAATAAGAAATAAGGTAAGACACCATTTGGAAGACATAGGCACAGGTGGAAGGATATTATAAAAATATTTTATCTTAAAGAAACGGTGTGTTTGTTTAGCCCAGGATTGGGATCACTGGCAGGCTCTAGTGAGCCCTGTATTGAACCTTTGGGGTTCATTAATAAGGGCAGTAAATTTGTTGACTGGCTGAGTGAATATTTTACGTGCTCAAGGACTGTGCTCCTCTTCCTTTATCTTTTCCTTACTTCTATTTTACTCCATGAACTTTTTTGTTATCTGTACACAATTTCCAACAGGGGAAATGAAATAAACTCTTCATTATTTTTAAAATTGTAACAAAACTTCTCTATGCTCTGTCATGTCTTGTACATATCAAAGGACAGTGTATTATGTGATTGAGAAGGGAGTTTATTAAAACTCATGAATCAGCTATGCACAGTGACAGTAGAAAGACGTGAATTATAACAGCTGCCACCTCAGCCTGTCTATTGAAGTGTCCAGCAAGTTTCCAAAAAGCATTACAGTGTGAAGAACTCTGCAGGTTGTAGCCAAATTTTACACGTTAGTTGAGATGTGAAAGCTTGGAATTTATTTATTTCTGAGCAGAAGTTGTGGCTTATTTGTTTTAACACAACCTGCTAAACCATGCACTACAGTCAGATAATTGGGTAGGAATTATCAGCTATATGTGCATTTATTTTATACATTTCATGCAAAGAATTCACAAGCTTAATAATTGTTTCATAAAGTGGTATGCTTTTAAGAAACTACAGTAACCTTATTTTAGATAGCAACTCATTTACAGGATTCAGAATTAATTTTTAAATTGTGTTGCTTGTTTTTATGTATTGATAATATCAGTATTTGAAGATTAATTTATCGAAAGTTGTGTGACTTGAAAAGGAATTGGCATTGTGAACAGAGTAACAAAGTGACATGTGTAACATTGTAAATGACATAGGAATTGCCTCTGATCAAATTGTGTTGTGGTTTGCTATTCTTTACATAGCAAAATGGGATTCAAAAGAAGAAGGAGAGGTCAAGACTAAGTATCATGTAACATGGCGTGGAAAATATCCTGAAAATAAAAAGTAAGTTAATACATAATGTTCTCAGATACTTTGTCATAGATGTTGCACACTTTGAAGTGAGTTTTTTTTAAAGTACAAAAATACTTCTTCCTCTTAGCAAGCAGATAACCTCAGTCCTATGTCTCCCATTAATCTCCCAAGGAAAGAGCATCCACTGTGGACCAGACTGGACATGTGCCATTGTTGGCATATCATCAGGATTTGTTAAGTTTTACACAGAGGTTAGTACAATTTTGAATGTAATAGACTGGAATAGAATAGAATTTATTTACATTCCATGGATGCCTCATAGTACGAGCCAGGGATGTGGAACATGTTATATAAAGACCAACACTTTATGCTAATAAAATACTAATATATAACTATATAGCTGTTCAGCTGTTTACATAAATATGTTTAGTATTTAAGAATTTTCAATTGAAGTCAATTTTTCTACAGTGTGGAAGGAGTTTGATAATGATAATATTTCAATGCTGGCTTAAATATTTTAATGTCATGATTTAAAGGTTTAATACTACATGGGAGAATGCTGAATAACTTGATCCCTGTGTAGTAAGCATCTTTTTGGTAGGTTAGGTTAGCATTTGGCATATCAAAGCTTTGTTCATGCCTTGTGTTTTACTATGTATTGAGTGAGAGGGAAAGAATTACTACAGACTTATAGTGCTGAAAATGCAAAGCCACCTTTTTATTTTTTATTTGGTATTTATTATGTGGAAGTAAACTTCTAAATCACCAGTCTGTTACAACATAGGACGAAGAACGTTTACTAAATTATAAGTACTGCACATTTTTATTTATATTTTATATTTAAATATAGTTTAGGAATCTATAACGTGCTTTGGGAAAAAAGTATTTTGTAATATTAAAATATAATTTGGCAACATATTTTCTTCTGAAAACATTTGACTGCAGTATTTTAGCATTAGCAACTTCATGGACATGCACATTTTATTAACTCTGATATTGTTACTAGTTATATACCCAAGTTAAAATCACCAGGTAGTATGGGTGTTTAAATACTCTGTTCCTGTGTGGTAAAGGTTAATAACATATGGTATTACAATTTCATGCAGAGTAATAACCCAAATTATCCAGTATGGACCAACATTAAATTTCATCACTTAATTTTCTGTAGGTGTTCTACTATTACATTTTATAAAAATCTCTTTGGCCAGTATTGAATTTCTGTTGATATATACTCTTTTCTTAAAATAAATTCAAAATTGACCAGAGTAGTTGGAACTGTTCACACTTCTGCAGTTAAGATGGCATGTTTTTCCGTTAGAGGATAATGTCTTGTTTCCAGAATTGCAATCTGCTTCTGTCAGAGCAGCTCCACAATGAACCAGTTACCCATCTGAAGTGCCAGTCTTTCGAACCAGCGAGATATTCAACAGAACAAGAGCACAGTGAGGACCTGTATGTCGTGTACTGCAGTGCTGTATGTGTTCTGATGGGCTCTGGACTTTTTGAGATGTTGCGTGCCTGTCGCAACCAAAAGGCACTAGGTATTTTAGGATTAATGAGTGTAATGTAGTTGTTTCTCTGAGCCTTAAGAATTTGTAAAGATCTGGAGCCACATAGATGTTGTGATTATTTATTTAATCACTTATTTACTTAGCATCTTCACTTGTATTTCAGCAGTGCGAGTGGCAGGACTTTTCAATTTTCAGTGTGTCACTGTATTCTTTTTACAAATTCTTTTACAGGTTTTTGGTTTTATTATTATTAATAATAATAATAATAATAATAATTTATTTACATTCCATGGGTCCATAAGACAGTCAGATGGAAATAGGATGTGGAAAAAGTCATAATAATAAAAATAATAATAATACAATACATATTATAAAGTACAATTCATACTATTATATAAATTTCACATAATACAAAACAAAGTATTCACCTGAAGAAATGATAAGCTACAAATAGATCTACCCATTACACACAAGAAAAATTTATCACTTATTTGTAAACAACATAAATTCATTGACAGTGTAAAAGGAGTGTGTAATTAAGTATCTTTTTAATGCTGGTTTAAATTGTGCCTTTTTATTTACAAGACATGTGAGATTTGATGGTAGACTGTTGAAAATTTTGATCCCTGCATAATATGCACTCTTCTGAAAGCATGAGAGGTTGGCAATTGGTCTATGAAGCTTATTTTTATTCCTTGTGTTGACACTGTGTACAGCAGAATTAGTTTGAAAGAGTTCTTGGTTATTTACAATAAAGTTCATTAATGAGAATATGTATTCACAAGGTAGAGCTAAGATCTCTAATCTCTTAAATGGACTTCTACATGAATATCTAGGTTTTACACCAGCCAATAATCTAATAATTTTCTTTTGTAAAGTGAATATTTTTTTACTGTTTGATGAATTACCCCAAAAAATTATTCCATACTTCATTATAGCGTGAAAATAGGCAAAATATACTGATCTGAGTGTGTCAGTGTTGCTGACATGCAACAGGGATCTAACTGCGTAACATGCGCCACTTAACTTAGGTATCAGTTTATCAATATGATTTGTCCAATTTAGGTGATTATTAATTTGCAAACCCAAGAATTTTGTGTTTATTGACTCTTGTATATACTTCCCATTATAACCAATACTTAAAGCAAGCTGTGGAGAGTTATTTGTTATAAATTTTACTATATTTGTTTTATTTAGTACCAGCTTGTTAGCAGTAAACCATTTACTCATATGAGACAGAACTATGTTTGATGATGAACAGAAATCATCAAAATTTTTATTAATGGTGATGAAGTTGACAGTGTTGGTCTCTGGGTTATAATGCCATATGGACTTGTAGCCAAATACCAATGTTTCAGAGAAATGACTGTCTCCCTCTACAGCCCTTAAGTTCATGAAGCATTATAACCCATACCCGACATCAGCAATTTCCTTTCATTTTACTTTTTCCAATATCCTCTACTTTTCATTTTCAATCCTTGCATGTTCTTTGTAATGTATGTATTGCCCCAGTTTCTGTTAGTACAAGTTTTAATGATACAGAGACAATTTATTGCCATTATTTATCTTGTCATGTGTATTTTCCAAATGAACCACAGTAAACACATTCCATTCTTACGTCATTTCCTGCGTAAAAGACAATGCCTTTCATGGCAAGTCTCATAGACAATTTTTTATTTCATTACATTGTTTTGTGGAGCTATTCTGAAAGTATTTATTAGTATCTTAGTCAACGTAAAAGTTTTAGAATGACACTGTTTAGGGAGATATTGTTGGTGGGAGGTTATATTTTGTTATATAGACAAGAATAGAAGGATATAATCATTCATGGTATACATTTTGCAGCTAGAAACTGTGTGTGTGTGTACTGTGTGCTGTTTATTGAGGGGGTGATTGGGACATAATTTTCAATAAAGAATGTTGACACAGCATTGGTTCTGTTTTTAGTTGTTGCAGAGCAGTGATGGTTTCAAGGTGTGTTTAGAGAACAATAAACAAGAGTATTAATCAGATTAATTTCTTGCTACATTTTATCAGATACATGTTATAACTGATCATAATGTACATCGTTAATTTTAATGCACAGCCTTGCCCCTTTCCAAGTGAGTTTACTGTCTTTTTAATCAGTTTATGTGTTCACATATATTTGCAGCAGTATCCATAATCTGATGCAGGAGTTCCTCTCATACATGTGCTTTGGTCCTGTATGTTATTTCTTTCATTGATTCCCACTTAGAGAAATCAAGTAGGTTTAGGTCTAGAGGTCTGGGTGAACAAGTTATTTGACCGTGACAACAGGCTTAATTATTTTCATGACACCAATTCAGTTAAGCCATAAGGTGAAGAAAATATGGAGGCCCATGCCTTGTCTTCAGAGGCACATTCATTAAAAGCAGCAGTTCAGTTATCAGGAAGTGAGTGTCAGTAGTGGTAAGATCTTCATTCAAAACCATGACCAGTGTTGCCATCTGTCAGTGTACACACAAGTAGGCACTTGTCGTTGGCGTGGCTTAAAATTTATAGCTCTGCAATGGTTGGAAATATGACCAGTGTTGCATTAACATGTTTTACTCAGAATTACATCCCAAATCACCCCCTGATATATGGCAGACTGGTTGTGAAGCACCATGTACAATACACTGTATAAAGTCAAACAGTACAGTTCCTTGTATTTTGTTATTTATTTTTGAACATGTTTTAGGTCTGAATGGAGTGTTTATTTTACTTTTTTTATGAGCCAAGTTTAAGAAATTTTGTGAAATTCAGTTTTGGGATTGATATGTGGTAGGGATTGTAATTGATCAGTGTGCACAAAAATTAAATTCATGTAGGTACTTTTACTGTGAAATCTATAAATAATTTTTTTTCCACACTCAAATAGTTTTGAGGTGAAACATGCTAATGGATAGACAGATGTACAGGCAGATATAAGTGTGTTCATTTAATAGCTGTAATGTATTTTTTGTAGGTTCTTGCTTGTAAGTTTTTTCTTCTGGACTTTTGTTTCAGTGCAAGCAAATTGTGGAGACATGATAAGACCACCTCCTCTCAGGTACAAGAAATGGGGGTTTACTGAACAGGATAGGGTGGCTGACTTGGAGGTTGTTGGTCCAGCTACAGACAGCACGTTTGATCATTTAGTAACAGCGTCTTTGTGTGGATGCTTCAATGAAAGTTACTGCTCCACTGCCCCACAGACTTCTCTCATATTAGCTGTTGGTGAGACACCTTATGTTGGATTTCACTATGCCTTGGAAGGAGAACCGGCACTTGTGTCTGCAGGCGTTACCAAAGCAGTGGTCAGTAAAACGAAGTCTGCAATTGGTCAAGTCTCGTAAGTATATTTGTATTGTAGTAAGAGGTACAAATTATGGAACATTTCAAAGGAATTTGCTTCAAGATTCAAACTGATGGCTCTTTTCTGAGATGTTTTGCATTTCTGGATTCCATCTTACAGTTATATGTATGTGCACCGAGTTTTAGATTTTAATTTCTCCTGGAAGTGCAAGATGGATGGATATGTGCTTGACAATAATGGATGATCATTTATGTGTTTTATATTAATACTTCTCAAATCATATGGCAATGTTCTAGGAGCTGGATAATGGGAGGCATAAAAAGCAGTTCTGTTGAGAAAGTGAAAAAAAATGTCCCGTTTGAACCTGCAGTTCCAGTAGGATGTAGGTAAGTAAATTATTAAGATCTGAGGTTTCTACAGTGGTGACAGTGTGAAGTGAGGTTTTCTGGATTATGACACAATGTAATCTTATAGATAGAGTTATCAGTGTTACAGAGGAACTTATTGCCTCTGTCTTCAGGTCCTCCAAAACACTGGTAACCACCTGCAAGATGACATGACATCAGTAACTCAGAAGGCCACAATTGTCAAGTAATTTTACGCACAACCCCCCCCCCCAATAAGTGTAGAGACATCCTTTTTATATGCAGTACTGTTCACTTTGGTGGGGAGTTCAGGTTCAGAGGCTCTACAGAAGGCGTTTCAACATTACCTTTATCTTCTTTCAATGCTTTGTTGTCAGTATTTGCAGCGGGGAGGGGAGGTTTATCTCAGTGGACATGTTGGTATAGAGAGGGAATGCAGCGCAGGAACTTGGTCTTCTCCAGATATGATTGTCTTACAGTCATTATTTCTTTACATTGTACTGTGCATCAGTTAGGTGAAATTGATAGTTGACACTTGTAGATCCTAAGTAAAATGGCTGAGAAATGTAATCACAGTAAAACAAAACTCAAGTTAATTGAGAAATTTGAGAATGGGGAATCAGCAACAGTTGTGGGATAGGGACACAAATGATATACGCGACGTTAAGGACAACAAAATGAAGTTGCAAGAGTATGAAAATGCCTTGATTTGAAGAGGTGGATGTTGCCCTTCTTCAGTGTTCAACCAGAAGTAAGCAGGAGGAACATCAGTCTCCAGACCCATGTGTGAACAGAAAACCAAGTTTTTCATGAGGCATTCAGATTGTAAAATGAGTTCAATGCCAACTTTGGACTGCTGACCAAATTTGATATTTGTAAAATTGCAGTACAGTTACATTAAGTGCCAGTGATGTTGCAGAGCTGATACATTCAACGTAGAATAAAAAGAAAATTGTTTTAATACAAGAGGCAAACTTGCAACCAGATCAAATATACAATGCTAATGAATCTGTCTTATACTGGAAAGGCTTTCCAGCAAGAACCATTGTATTTTGTAAGATCGAAATCTGCTCCCAGGCATAAATTGTCCAAAGAATGCCTTAAGGTCTTGTGTTTTGGAATTGCAACTGGAAATAACAAACTGAAACTTGTAGCAACTAAAAAAGTCAGTAAACCACAGTTGTTCAAGGGTTCTTAAGCAGACTGAATTCCTGTACATTATTATGATCAAAAAGGAGCATGGGTGGAAAAGGAGCTTTTTGAAATCAGTTCCACAAGCATTTTGTTCTGGAAGTTTGTACTTTTCTGGAAAAAAGAGGATTATCGCAGAAAGCAGTGTTGCTGCTAGACAGTGCCCCTTCTCATCCATACCATCGTCCAGTTATGACCTCATTGTTATGAATATAAAATAAGTAAGTAAACAAACAACTATTAACACTATAAAAAAGACACTATTGCCATACGCGTTTCAACCTCAAGAGGTCATCATCAGTGGCATCAAGGAAATTAATTCATTTAATCTAATGGTTTAAACTGGATTTAGAAAATAAATAAGGTGTTTCACAAAAGTATTTCAAGCGTTACTGCACTAGATGTTGTTATTCACAGAAGTAGAACTATGCACTTAGCTATTGATCCGATGGTTCGTTGGCCATAGCTGGTCTGCGGCGAGCTGTGGTCGCGTCGCCCGCAGTTCAAGAAAACAAGATAAAAAATACAATGATAATGGTGTATACCAGTTAAAATGCGGAAGCTGCGAGCTGGTCTATATTGGCCAAACCGGTAGGGATTTTAAAACCAAATTTAAAGAACACGTCCACGACATTAGGTTCAATTTAACAAAATCGAAATATGCCGAACACATCCTCGAACACGGACACGAATACGGCCCCATAGATGATATCATGGACATATTAAGAGTAGCTCCAAAGGGTAAAATGCTAGATATTTTAGAAAAATTCCGTATATACAAAAGTAAACACAAAGCCATCATTAACGAACAAAACGCCGATGATTCTAATGTATTATTTGACCTGGTATTATTATTATTATTATTATCCCATCTCTTCACCACTTTATGGGGTATGTACTTCCATGTACCCGAAATAGACCTTCCACATTCTCTGTATTTCAATGAGAAGGTCCTTGTGTTTCAAGATCTTCTCTGCTTTCTTCTTAATTACGTTCCTGTCAGTCGGTATTGCTATGACAATTAAGAGGCAAGTTCCGTTTTTGTTTCCGATTATAATATCTGGTTTATTATTTGGAATATTTCTATCTGTTTTGACTTGTTGGTTCCACAAAATAGTTATTTGGCTATCTTGACTTGTCTCCACTGTCTTCGGGATGTGTTCATGCCAGTTCTTCTCTTCTAGCTTTACCCCAGCGTTCCTGCATATGTTAAAATGTAACTGAGTACAGACACGATCATGTCGTCGTATATACTGTTCTTTTGCCAGCACGGGGCATCCGGACATAACTTGATCTGTCGTTTCCTCAAATTGCTGACATAACCTGCATTTGCTGCAATATTTTTGCTGCGTAATATTTTGTGTTTAGCGCCTGGTCTTGTGCTGCTATAATCTGACTTTCAGTTTCCCCTTTCAGATCTCCTCTTGTTAGCCACAGAAACGTGTCTTCTTTGCTTATAAGTTGTCTGTCCAAATTTCGGAGATACTGTCCATGCATTATTTTGTTCTCCCATTTTTTCTTTATACTGTCTTGAATCAATGTCTTAATTTGTTTTCCTTCATTTGTGTCACTGATTTCATCTTCAGAATTTAGTTCTTCTTTGATTTTCGATGCTGTCTTAGTTATTGAGTTCATTATTGCTTGATACCTGTCGTGTAATTTTATGATGTTAATATATGGATCCTTCTGATGCTTTATGTGCAAATACTCTGCAATATTAAATATTTCACTTTTGTATGCTGCTTCAATCTGTCCCAGTCCTCTTCCCCCTTCCTTCCTCTTTACGTAAATTCTGTCTGCGGCTGCCTTCGGGTAATGCTTCCCATAAATTGTCAACAGTTTCCTAGTTTTTCTGTCAATTTTCTTCAGTTCTTCCAGTCTCCAGTTAATTATTCCAAAACTGTACCTCAGTACTGGAACTGCTAACGCATTTATGGCAGTGATTTTGTTTCTGGCATTCAGTTCAGATTTCAGTATCATCCTTAATCTTCCATTATATTCCTTATTATTATTATTATTATTATGAATTGTTTAATTGGTCCTCAAGCAGCCAAAAACTTCAGGCGTGTTGCCGTCATAACTCGGATGCTTGCAGGCCAGATGAAACTGTAGGCACGGCTCGAACCACGAGATAGGCGGCTACAGTGAGTTGGGGTCGTGCGCACG